GATTACCTTATCAAAAACTTTTTTTTTACTGTTGTTCATTTTTTGCCTTGTATTAGATCATTCCTTTCTATTCTATTCTTGTTTTGGGAAAAAAAGGAATAATTGAATCAGGTTGATCAAAGCTTTTTTAGTATACTTGAAGAAAAATATTCATGGATAAAAGATTTAGAATAATGCAATTTAAAGTCACAAAAATACGCTGTTTGATTATTTTTCTTTCAAGAATATCAAAATAGCAACATTTACTTGGAAAACTTGAATGAATCCAAGTAAGGAAAGAAAACATCAGCGATGCAAGTTTTCAAAATTTACTTACACAGTAATTAACTTAGTATACAAATACAAGACAATATATAACTGAAATTTACGATTCTTAGTTTATAATTTTCTATAAAATCAGAGAAACAGAGATTCAATAGTTACTCATTAAGCAATTTACTTAATTAGCAATACATGACGATATAGTAGAATTTCACGATTCTTTACCTATGATTACAGATATTTACTAAAGCTGACAATAACAACATATCGATGCATTATAAAAAAAAACTTTTATAAATCGTATGTTTCATTGAAAGGTAAGTTGATTTGGACTATTCTTTTTTCATAAGATCGAGGAAATTGAACCAAATTTATCTGAATCACACAGCAATTTTTAATAGACACAAATACAAGAAATATGATGGATATTTACGATTTATAACCTAGTTTTAGTTAAATAAACATAAATTTATCGAATAAATGATATAAAAAAACGAGGACATCATAGATTTCAGTAAAGCAGATGATGTAATTTTATATCACTATTTTCTGACACACAACTCTTTTGTTCGACACCTATGACTAAGTTTGTTTCTTTCAAAAGCTGCGAATAGTTTTCGTAAGGGAGAATCCATTTTAATGTCCACCTCTTCGAATTCAAAATAACTTCCCAGACAGGGAAATCTCCCCACTTCCATTCGCCGTTCCATTCAAAGCAACCACAGAAGAGTTCTAAATACTATGTCGTCTGCATTTTCATTTAGCTATCAATATCGTTGTGCTGCTTTTTCTTATTGCTTTGATAGCCTTTGTTTTTGGTCAATCTTGCAGGTTCTATAGACGAATTTAAGCGAACGCTTGGGGTAACTGGAAGTTTAATTAGAAGATATTATTTTGAGAAACCATTTGCTAAATCTTCCTATATCGTAAATAATAGTTTTTCATTCGTAACAGATTTATTTATTTCAATTTTAAAGAAAAAATATCAAAAATTTCTGACTTAACACATTATGCAAAACATTATAAATATTAACACGCTATAAAACATTTTCTAAGGCAATTTCCACCACTAATAAAAAAAAATAATGTTTAAACTCCCTGTCAGCGTTTTATTTAATAACATTGAATAATCACACAAACAATATTATATGTATACATACAAATTTTTAAGTAACCTATTAAAAGTTGATTCCCCTTTTTATCAGGTTGTGTTCTGATAGTTGATTTGTTCGTGAAAATGGATGCTCAAATTTCTTGAAACTTTTTTTTTTGTTTCTGACGAAACCGCTTCCTGGTATATGCTCCGAGCAAATATTTAATCGAAATAGCTTTTGTCACTTCTTCGAGGAAACGAATTTCGTCGAAATTAAAGAAATATTGAACCATTCTATTTCTTCCAAAAAAAAAAAAAAGAACTTCGAAGGGCCTAATTTTTTTAACTTTTTTAATAGTCACTTTATCGTGGGCACCAAATAGGGGGATTGATATCGCCCAAACAAGACAAGAGAAACAGGTAGAACAAGGAAGAAAATTACACATATGTCCGAAGCTGAATTTGAAACTGGGGTCTTCCTCTTACGATGCCAATTCCTTGACTGCCTTATAGCATGGTAGGTTTGTTCGTCACTTTATTTTCCATCTCCCAATCTTCATTCTAGTTTCGTCATTCCAGTTGGCTTTCCACTCCAGTTTCGTCATTCATTCCAGTTTCGTCATTCTAATTGGCAATCTCCCACAATGCACTGCGATGAGGATTCAAGCTGAGAAAACATTTTCGTCATATATTTGAAAGTTCGAATTTGCCGCAAATCACGTGAATTTGCGAAGAAAAGATTTTCAAAATTAACGAAGGATTGCTCAATCGCCATTTGTGAGAGTGAAATATTGATTGAAAACTGATTACCATTTTTAAAAAAAACAGGCAGGAAAATCCCTTCTCTACATGCACTCATTTTATTAAGATGTAAAAGTTGACATAATTATATTAATATCAGCAAAGAATACAAAACAGATTTTGTTCAGCGAATCCGAAACGGAATGTATTCATAATGATTCATTACTTTTATTTACTTGCTTAAACTTTTAACGATATTACTAATTACCAAAGTATTTTCCTTTATGTGAACTCGCAGCTGAAGAAAAATTAATAGTGCAATCTCATTAAGTTTCTTCCGTTAATTATAAGCATTTATGAAAGAGAAAATAATTGATTTGGTAGAAGAGGAATTCAAGTGCTCGCTGTTTTCCGAACTTGGGCATTTGTTAGTTTGTATGATGTAAGGTTTCCGCTCCGTTTCGTTCCAGTTAATTGAAATCTAAATCGATACGAACACGAAGTGTGTTTATTGGAAATGGGGTTGGCCAACCTTATTGGCCAAATTAAATCTATTTTTAGATTGTTAATAACAGCTTTTGCTTTCAATTCAATTAAGAATTGCTTTAAATTCATTAAATTCGTAGCTTTTTGGCTGGAATTTACTTTTTCTAAAACAATTAACATAAACGGATTTTTTATTCAAAATAATACCTTTTAAAAAGGGCAAAAAAAGAATACTGCTTTTTCTCTAAAATAAAGTTAAAAAAAAATGATTATAATTTAAACATAAAATTCAAAAAAGAAAAATAAGAGTATTATAAGTCCGCGAAAAATGCTTATATGCTATAAATAATTATAAGTTATATGAATTAAGAGTGGCGATTTCCAGAAATGTATGACTAAGAAACAAAATCGAGGTCTTTTGTTTCTTGGAAGAAAAAAAACTATTTTTGTGGCAGACTCAAAATTCCAATGACAGATGGCGTCAATCATTCCGTGGCGGTTTCTCTGTTCTGTTTTTATGTATGCAAAAATTGTCATCCGTTTTGCTAACATGTGATTGTGGCTTTCCAAAATATTTCTTCTCAATTGTTTTTCATTGATTTAAAGATATTCTGAAAAATGTTTTAACTGGAAAACAGGAACTTCTGGAGAAAATATTTATGCCCATCACGTGCATTTATAGCAAAACTAGTTTTCTTAGATCAAACAGTTCTTCTATATTTTTATTAGGGGGCTAAGCCCACTGTTCGCTGCCGCTCACCAACCCCTATAATTGCTTCGCAATAATTGTCTTTTTTTGGTAGAAAACAGTTTTTCTACGAAAGTTAAAATTATCCACTTAACATATATATACTAAAAGGAATTCTGTTTGCTTACGTTTGCGCCTCTACTTCCTACGTCCAAATATTACTATCTATTAGTGCGATAAGCAATTAGATCTCTTGGTGAATAGAAGTGATTTTTCGAAGTAATCATTTTTAAAAATAACATTTATATTCTTATAACATTATATTGTTCAAGCAAATTTGATAAGTTCACAACCATAATTTAATATTTTCGCTAATAAATTTCGCTAATAGAAAAAAATATTTAAAGGAAAACAATTCGCGAGTACGCCCTCTAGCGGGAGCCTGTAAATATCAGACATTAATTTATCACGCTTTCATTTAGTTCCATCAAAATCATCGGCAGAATCAGACGCCATTTTCTTAGCAGCAAATAAAGATAAAAATTTCCCTTAGGAAAAGCAGAAGAACTTGAAAAAACTCTCCAGAATATTGGGATATCTTTCAGACCCAGAACACGCAGAATATTTGAAGAAAAATTTCTCAATAATTTTTAACTTCTATTATCAACAAACTTGCAACTGATAACTTCCGATTTCGCTATCGCATACTGTTACAGATGTGTGTATTAAGGTAAAATGCATTTCTTCTGTCTTCAATTCATTACAAATTAAAGTGAAGTCAACATTGCTTTCGTCATTCCAGTGAATAAATATGAATTCAGAACATACAGAATTGTAATAGTTATAGCATATTCTTCTTCGTTATAGAATAGTATATATTTCTGTATCCATATAATTCGGAAAACAACAATAAAAAATTATCCAAGTTACTTGAAATAGTGCCATTT